ATAAGAGGTAGCTCCTTCTAGCCCTAGAATTTTACAAGCAAAATAATCATGAGTTACTATTAAAAAAAAACCCAGAGTAAGGCTGGTTATGGTAGCTTACTCCTGTAATCCCAGCAGTCTGGGAGGCTGAGGTGGGTATTGGATTGCTTGAGCTCAGGAGTTTGAGACCAGCCTAAGCAAGAACGAAACATTAAGTCTCTAAAAAAATAGCTGGTGTTGTGTCAGATGCCTCTAGTCCAGGCTATTTAAGAGGCTGAGGCAAGAAGATCACTTGAGCCCAAGAGTGAGGTTGCTGTGAGCTGTGATGCCACGGCATTCTACCAAGGGTGACAAAATGAGACTATGTCTAAAATAAAATAAAATAAAATAAAATAAAATTTTACTAAAAATATTTTATACAAAATATTGTACACTAAAAATTTGACTCAATTATAATAGGAATTAAAGTTAAATCAATTTAATATTACTGTTAGTTAACTGTAACTCTAATAAGAAACTTAAATTTAAATCTGAGAAATAAATTGCATCACTAGTAAACAGAACCATCTTGAACAGGTCTTCAATAGTAAACACTGTTAAAAGATGAATAAGACCCTTATAATTAAGGTAATATGTATCCTTCATCCAGAAAGCAAGTATCATTGAATTTCAAAGAACTGATTCCATTACTTGAGGTAATCAATAACTCTGTCCCTCCCCTCTCAGATTCAGTGGTTTAAAGAAATTTACCATAAGTACTAAAATACAGTATTGCTTTAACTATGCAGGAAAACTAGTTCTGAACTCATTCTTGACCCAAATTAGTTGAAATATCACAGGATCACAGAACCATTGACCTTTCCATCATATAAATCCCTTCTAATACTTTACCAAGTCTTGCTGATGAATTATTCTTTTCCTATGGGGACAGGGCTCACCATAAATTCTTATTTTTCTGGTCAGGAACATGAGTTGCCATTTCTAAAGTTATTTTAGAGTCAGTACAAGTCTTTAAACTTGAGTAGAAAAAACAACAGATACTTGTACCCATGCTCCACCTCCCAAACCCCAGAAGGGCAGAGTGTAAGGATCTTTTATATATAAGCAAACAAACAATGTCTCAGAAAGTAAAAAGATAAAAGCTGAGTGGTATGGCCCTAGTACTTGTAGCCCCAGCTACTGGGGAGGCAGAAGTTGGAGGATCACTCCAGCCTAACAGTTGGGAGTCCAGCCTGGGCAACATAGTGACACCCCATCTCTAAATAAATAAATAAATAAATAGCCCCAAACAGATAAAAACATACAACCCTCGCCCCCAAAAGGCTTTTTGATATTGATGTTTTAAACCATTATTAATGTTTTGTTGAGGAAATCTTAGTTGAAACTGAGAACCATCCTAGTACAAGGTTTTACATCTGGGTAGGGGTGGAATACTCTCAAAGCCTGCACTGACAATTTATGGGACAAAACAAGAAAACACTTGAGAGCAGGAGTAATGCTAACAACACCCCAAAGTAGGGTGTCTATGGCTTCCAAGAGGCTGCCAGCCGACGAGTCGCATCTGCCCTTTCTCCCTTCACCAGTCCTGAGGGGCAAGCAGGCGGTTAAAATAGGAAGATGAACCATTCCATCTTTTCCGGAAGATGAACCATTCTGGCCGCCTCCGGAATGGCCAGAGCAGGCTGGGCCTCAGGGGCCTGGAAATAGACACTGGGTTTGGAAGACTCAACTTTCCTAGCAGAGCCGAGCAACGAGAAAAACCGATAGGAATGGAGCCCGAGGCTGGTGGCGAGGGTGTGTTAAAGGACGAGAAATAAGGCGCACTTATAAGGGACTGGGGTGTGAGTGTGTTTTGGGGGCAAGAGGTGGAGCTTAAATACGCAAACATGCACTCCCACAACCTCAAGAGAAAATGCCACGGAGCAGTGTGGGCTCCTTAACAAAATAATAAATTAATAAATTGGGGGGCACCACCCACCCCCTGGTGAAACTTTTCTCCAGTCCAGATCACTCCGTGTGCAAAGGGGTTTCCTGCGGAGCGTGGAAGAACCGGCGGGAGGGGGAGAGGGTGTCCGAGGAGCCCTAAACACAATGATTTGGGGGCGAAAAGGTAAGAAATAGGTTATCCGGGGAAGTTTGAGGTGAAAAGTGACAAAGGGAGATAAGGGTTACACAGCTATGATTTAATTTTTTAAAAAGGGGGGGAGATAGGGGTTCTCCCCAAGACAAACTCAGGGACTCTGGGGTTGCAGGGGTGCCCCCCAAAGTCCATAGATCTGGGAATCAAACGAAAGGGGGTTCCTCAGGACAACACAAATCCAGGAATTTGGGGATAAAAATGAGAAGGGAGTCTTTGAGCCACTCTCAATTCAGTGAGTTTAGGGCTAAATGGGAAGGCTCCCAGGAAGCCCCAATTTCGGGGACTTAGGGAGTAAAGTGATCAAAGTGTCTCCCAGGCAACCCCAATTTAGGGACTTGAGGGTGAGAGACAACGGTCCTCAGCAGTCCCCAATTCAGGGAAGTATGCGTAAGAGAGCGATCTCCGGGCACCCCCATTCAGAGACTTGGGGAACGAAAGTGAGAAGATTCTGGGGACCCCCAGTTCAGGGAGTTTTAAGAGTTTGAAACCGCTTCCTGGGGTGCCCGTAATTCAGCGAATTTGAGGGTGAGCGTGAGAAAGGAGTCCCCAGACGCACCAACCTCTGTAAGTTTTGTAAAAAGTGAGGCGACAGGTCCCCATCTCCCCGAGTTCGGTTAAAAAGGAAAGAGAGGGCGTCACCAGGGTCCCCCGAAACTCAGCCGCGCGTATGGGACCAAGGGTGCGGAGCTGGGGCTCCAGGCGCGCAAGTTAAGGGGGGGTTGCCGGGGGCGTGCTCCCCGACTCCCCTCCTCCGAGTGAGCCAGGTCCCCGCCGGCCCCGCACTCCCCGGTCCGGCCCGGGGCGGTAGCATGGGTCACCTGGAGTTCCGGCCGGGAGTTCGGGCAGCGGCTCCCGCGGAGGCAGCGGAGGCTGCTGCGTGTTGGTCCCCGTTGGTAAGTAACAGTCTCCACGGCTACAGTCTCTATGGCG